TTTTCAGCTGCAGGGACAGGACGACTGGTTGCAATTGAAGGAAAGATGAATGTGGCCAAGTACAGAGATATCCTGGAAGAAAACCTCTTCCAGAGTGCTCAGGACCTCAGACGGGGCCGAAGGTTCACCTTCCAACAAGACAATGACCCTAAGCACATAGCTAAAATAACCAAGGAGTGGCTTCGGAACAACTCTGTGACCATTCTTGACTGGCCCAGCCAGAGCCCTGGCCTAAACCCAGTTGAGCATCTCTGGAGAGACCTGAAAATGACTGTCCACCAACATTCACCATCCAACCTGACAGAACTGGACAGGATCTGCAAGGAAGAATGCCAGAGGATCCCCAAATCCAGGTGTGAAACGTCAAAGCACGAAAAGTAGAGCAATTAAATACTCTTCTGCTAGGTGGCAGCAGATCGCTATGAAAACTGAAAAAAAAAAAAAAAAAAAAAAAAAAAAAAACGCTTTTGAGGTTTTTTAATAAATTTGCAAAAAATTCTACATTTCTGTTTTTTTTCTGTCACATTAATGAGAAATACAATGAACTTTTTTGATTTTAGCAAATGGCTGCAATGAAACAAAGAGTGACAAATTTAAAGGGGTCTGAATACTTTCCGTACCCACTGTATGTGCCGTGGCTCAAAAAAGGTTGGGAAACACTGGTCTATTAGTCATTTGATCAAGTTAGCCAGTTGTTCCCAAAATAGTGGGCGGGTCCCACCTAGTGGTCACAAAGCCTAAGGCAGTGTAGAAAAAAAAATAAAATAAAAGTTCCTAAATAACATGCTATAGTGTGGTCCAAACTGTGGTAACAATGAGGCCGGACCCTCAGTGACTCGAGGGTCAGGTTAGGCATTGAAGCCGAGTCTTACCAGGAACTACTCTGTGAAAGTGTGTGAGTGTTTAATCCCTTCATCTTTCGGGATGATGGAGCTATTGCATCAATGTTTCTACGGAGGGACAGAGCATTAATCTGATGGATAATGATGCTCACTCACTCTCTCTCACTCTTTCTCTCTCTCCTCCTCCATCTCTCACCACGTCAACCGCATTTAATTCCTAAAGTAAATTATGCCGAATTGGGATTTTTCCGTATCTCCATACACATGATACGGAAGATCCATCCGTCACATACAGTAGTTCATGTCCAAATGCATTTTGCTAAAAAAAAAAGACAAATACAACTGAACCCACATAGTGTAGGTCAGTATTTGTAAATTATGTAAAGAAATAAACCAAGTCCAGTATCGTGTGTCATGTCTTCAAGTCCATCAATTACCTTTTAAACCATATTCCAACAGAGGGCGACATTTCACATTTCTAGTCTGAGCCTTATTCCGTATGTCAAATTTAAGGCCTGCGGGCCAAATCTGGTTCAGTATGTCATTTTATGTGGCCCCTCAGAGCTGAACATGTGTATGATTGTCTTAAACTAAGAGTCAAAGTGAAAGTGAAAGTGAAAGTCTATAAAATACTGATGTTCACTGGACAGGTTAAATACAATGGTCATGTGTCCACATACTGTATATCATCAGGAGAAATCTCATAAAAAGTATATTTAATGAAATATAATAATCTTCTAGTCTAAATGACCTCATAATTGACTCAAATCTCGGCCTGTTTAGTTGAAGCCCACGCTGACATACTGGCAGGAATTGAAGAAAGACACAATGATCTTCAAAAGCTCAGATTTTTTTTTTCAGTATTTATAGCTATCTGCTGCCACCTAGCAGAAGAGGATTTAATTGTTCTGCTTTTCACACTTTGACGAGCAAAGAAAAATTATATGATTTTCACACTTTTGACGAGCAAAGAAAAATTATATGAAAAAAATAATAGTTTTCAGCCCAATTAAGCGACATTTCTTCCGGCCACACCGGTGTGCCACGGCCCAGTGGTTGGGAATCACTGGTGTATACCATATGTATGGCGAGAAATCCGCATTTGAAATCAAGTGTACGTTTACAAATATTTACTGCTAACTACTTCTCCCATAATGCATCGTGCGATCCCCTGCACAACCGCACTCTTAGCTTTGATTGTAGATGTTCGATGTTCGCCCGGAGATAATTTGTTTCCTCGTTTCTTCCGAATTAAAGGTTGGGCAACGGAGGCGCCAAACCAGGCAGGGTGTTAAATGTCTAATGGTGGAGATGCAAGAAAACTACACACACAGTTCCGTGATAACAGATTGCCAATAAACATTATGTTATTAAGCAGGCCTGCGGTAAAAGGGGCGAGGACGACCTCAGGTGTCTTTGTCGGCTGATTTGGGAACAAAAGGAGAACGCTTCCCGTTCTGAGTCGCTGACTTTCATAATTGCCGACAAGGTGAACTTGACTCCTCTCTGAAATCCAGCCCGCTACCTTAATTGCTGTCTCAGCCGGAGATAAGTTTTTAAGCGAACATTCCGGTCGACTTAATTAAACTGATTCATTTTTGATATCATTACACATCCGTAAACAGTTCTATGTCGTCGTTCCATTTGTTCCGTGATCAGACTCTCTCCCCGGAGAGCAGCAGATTGTCAGTCACTTCAAACGACCCAAATCGGGCAGCAGCCGGCAGAGACCGGAGAGAGTTATCTGACAAAATGAGACCAGCTACAGACGTCAAACGCCGCGAGTTAAGTCGAACGAGCGAGCGATTTCCCCTGCAGCGGCTGCTCCTTCTCTCCATCTATTTTCATTCGTCTTTAATCACAGATGCAGAGCTGAAGGTCACAAAGACGCCGCCGAGGAATAGAAACGAGTGAAGTTTAATTCTGGGTGTTTCAATACGTGCGGCGGTTTCTAATTAAACATCAGCGTGTCCTCGGGGCGGCAACGGCGGCGGAGGGGTTGCTCATTTATCAACCATTAAATACACTTGCTCTTTAGTGACTCTAAGAGTATGTGTAAAATTAATGTATGGCTCATAAAAATGTCACGGTGGCAATACGTTTTTGTCACCACTGAGCTCGCCGACGACCTTAGCATGCGGTACAACAATGTGAAAATGACAGAAAACGTACGAGGAATTCTCGAGTTTGGCTGGCAAACGTGCAGGGATTCTAGAATAGCGACCCCTACAGATGCGTGTTCGTGATTTACTCCCTCTTTATGATCAAATTAGGTTCTGCGTGAAAACATTAGCACCACAAGTCAAAGGGATGACAATGACGCTAAGAATGAACATTCAAACATCGACTTAATAGCTATTGTTACCAGATCTGCGTTCATGTGTGACACTAACAATTAGAGAGTTAATTACAGCCTCACGGGGTGATTTACAGTCACTGCAGCCTCTTTTCAGAAAAAAAAAAAAAAATCAGTAATGCTGTAAAATGTAGCTGTTAGCAGTTAGCCGTTAGACAGACACTCCTGGACGAACGGCACGGTAAAGTAAGGGTCTCAAACCCCACCCCGATTCGTAGATTCAAGAAGATACGTCAAGAAGATACTAACATAAAGTCGCGATGATCCTTCAGCGATAGGCGTGGTGCATTAGCGTTTGGGGAAAAGTATGCAATGAAGCAGCGAAAAACCAACATAGATTGAGTTTTGTAGCTCTACGCAACCTGAAATGCACTGCAGTTCCACTGTATGTTGATCACAGCTTTTTAATGCCTCTGTGCCTGCACATCGCTGACTCATGTTGGCATACCTTATGACCGACATGATTCACTGCCAAGGAGGACGTCATGTTTATATTTTAATTTCATAAGAATATCTGTCAACGACAGCCCCCTGATGACATCACTCACGTGGGTAAAAGAAAAAGACCGACGCTACCTGGTTGGAAATGAGGTCCTCACACACAGACAGGGCCATTTGGATGGCGTTGGGCTTGTGTGTAACAGAGATGGCGTTCATCTTGAACTTGTCCTTCCCGTACAGAGCGTTGGCCTGGCTCACTGCTTCCTTGAACACCTGCTCGTAACGTTTTTGGCTCAGGACGGCGCCGATGTCCACCAGCCGAGGCTCGCAGCCGCCGCGGGCCACCGAGCAGCACTGTAGTACAGTGAGCAGCAGCATGCTACGCAGCTCCACTGAGGGGGAAATATAAAGATGGAGGTCAGACCAGGAGGGGGAAAGACACGATTGAGTGCCTTTTAAGGTTTTTTTGTTTTGTTTTTTTTAGACCTAAGAATAGAAGGATGGACACAAAGTTTGATGGTAGGAGCAGCAGAAAAATCAGATGATTGAACCAAGAAAGACTCAACAAAGTCAATTTTATGCAACAATCTGAGGTTCAATTTAGAGAAATAGTAGTACAGGATGTGGAAATGAGAAAGAAGAAGGTTGGGGGAGGCAAGGAGGGAGGGTGGAGGGTGGAGGGGTGAGGGAGTGGGATTGAGGGTGCAATTGAGAGGATGAAGGGGTAAGAAAGGTGAGCTGATGAATGTTCCAGAGGCATTATGTGGGGAGGGAGCTGGGTGAGGAATGAGGAAGGAGGGGTGAGGGGTTATTTTCAAACATAATGTAATGTAAATTCTACAGAAAGGTTATTCTCACTCACAATTTTTCTCCACAGTGACACCCAGAGGTGTGGATTCGAGTCGCATGACTTGGACTCGAGTCAGACTCGAGTCATCAATTCGATGACTTTAGACTCCACTTCACAAAATGAGACTTGCAACTCGACTTGGACTTTAACATCAATGACCCGTGACTTCACTTGGACTTGAGCCCTTTGACTCGACAAGACTTGATACTTTCTCCCAAACCCAAAGTGATCTGTGTAAATATATTATTATTTTGTTTAAAAGGACTTGAAACAGAAATGTACGGACTCGGGACTTGACACTTTTCAGTATTGACTTGGACTTGACTCGGACTTTGCCTGTCTTGACTTGAGACTTGACTCGGACTTAAGTGCAAAGACTTGAGACTTACTTATGACTTGCAAAGCAATAACTTGGTCCCACCTCTGGACACCTATATTAATAGTGAAATTGAAATTCATTTTCCTTGCAATGGCTCATACCACGTACCCCTGAGGGGTGCCGCCCCTCACTTTGGGAACACCTGAATTAGGCAACATTTGTATTTAAACATATCCTGCTAGCATACTTTTAAATAGACCGCTGCTGTTAGGACATATATTTTATATGTGTAAGAAAATGACCAAGACATTTGTTACTAACGTGCAGGTCGCTGAAAAAAAAATCAATCCAAAGCAATCTTGTTTTCTTAAACTGTACATAATTGTCTGCGAATAATAACATTATTTTTACCTAAATCTATGCACCTCGTGAATAAAACCCACAAAGAACAGACAAAAAAAATCAGTGGAGGGTAAGGGTGAGGATGGAGACGGAGGAAAAGGGAGAGAGAGGAAGGAGGAACGATTATGAGAATACGTGAAGCGGCAATAGTAAAAAATGTAAACACAGGGGTGAGGATTGTGGGCGGGGCTGTGGCTGACTGTTTTTCCTTCCCCTGACTGACTAACTGATTGAGAATCAATAGTAAAAACTCACATAATCTATACTTGATGAAAAAAGGGGTGATGACTGATTGGTTGAAGCACCTGGTGACGTGAGGTCGAGACATTCTAAAACAGAGGCAACTGATGAGCACTTGATTGACATTGACTTGTCGCGCCATTAATGACGTGACAAAACATAAAATTACGCCGGTACATCAAACAAACAGGTAATTAAATCACTTACTGATTCCAAGTGTTGTTGTTTATCTTTATTCCGGGGCTGGTGTTGACACGAGAAGCCCACAACTGTGGATTCCGTCACAGCAGCAAGGGTTTTCACTCTCCTGTTGATTGATTTCAATCACGGCGATGTTGCTCCCGTCAGTCTGTGACCTTGGTCCTAAGCTCTGCTTTCCGTTTTTTTTTCTAACGGTGATAACCCACGGTGGTTCACCGGGGGAATCACACGTACTTGTCTGTCATGGCGTGTGTCCGTGGAGCCGCTCTTGTCCTGTTGATTCACTGTGTCCTCGCAGCCTCGGCCCATTCGACAAAGTTCGTTGTCCGGTCGTTTGTTTTTTTTCCCCACCCACGTCTCCTTTGTATGTCGTTTTTTACGCTATATTGGTCGGTGGACTTTCGGATGACCTGATGCTCATGGTCTGTCCTTGGATCCCGACGCTCGCGCCCGCTCACAGAAAGGAGATGATGCGCGCCGCCGCTCATGCGCGGACACGAGCGTCCTCTCTTGTTCCCGCGCGATGGCATGTGTGCGTGTGTGTGTGTGTGTGTGTGTTATTGAATTATCAGACTGTGAGAAATTTCTTTACCGAGTAAAACATTACAAATATGCTTTTACACCATTTAATGTTATGCCGAAATAAAGATGGTCATATTCGAAACAATTTACAACGTGACTCAGCAGGATATGTAACATAGTAAGTACATAAACTAATGTGCTGTATGTGCTGTTGTATCGTTAGCTCCACGGAGTTCGCGGGCAAAGATGTCCGACAAAAAACCATACAATTACAGTATAAGCTTTCACTCGCCATGTTTTTTTTTTTTTTTAAATAACAGCCTGGGGGGTCAATGTTATCTATGTTACATTGTTACTATTTCAAAATAAATCTTATACAATCTGAGAACCGACGATATTTATCATCCTTAATTATACTTAGTGAAGCTTAGAATATAATATTTATAAAATTACTTATTTTCTATACATATATCTATCTTTCTAGCTATAGCTATCTAAAATGTGATTTTAAAGAGAAAGAAATCTTAAGTTTGAAGAATACATGTACCTAGACAAAACTTTTTTTACAATAAAATTGTTTAGTTTAAGGTACAAATGTCAACATAACGAGTTATTGTTATAGTGTTGTTATACAAAGCAAAGATTGTTTTTAAATATATTTATGACTGAGCCATTTAGGGAGCCTAAATTGACATATTAGTCAGCAAATATACCAAAAGAGGATTTTTTTTCTTAAATTAAAATATTATCTATACATTTATTTATATTATTTAATTAATTTATCTCCCACTACTTCTTTAAGTTCTTGAATGGGGCTGACATCAGGCAAATGGTGTGGAACGCTGACGATGGAGTTACGTCCAAGGGAAATTCGTACCAAATTGTGTCATCCTTCTCCAGGTGGTTTGTGAAATACTTCAGTTTGGCACAGCTCCTGTCAGCAGGAGTGTTTTGTCTTCGGGCCTGAAGTCTATTTCTGTGTAGTCACGGTCTAGTGACTGCGATTTGTCACCAGTGTCTTTCTTGGCCGTTATCCTAGACAAATGTCTTACTTACTTTTCAAGACACATGACTGACTAATTTTTGCTGTGAGTTTTTTTTTTTTCCCCCAGATTCTTTATTTACTGCGCATATGTGTCATCCTCTGGGTAATATTTCTAGCTTCACTTTTTGGCACTGCTTTACAGCTAATGTATTTGTTTTGTTTTTATTTCCAGTTTCAGTTAAGTTTTTTTTTTTTTTTTTTGGTATTTGCCTCGATGATGTCAAAGATGGCATCTCATACCATAGCATAGCATAGCCTCATCATAGGCTATGCTATATATATATATATATATATATATATGTATATATATTATTTGGTTTCCAAGGTTGCGATGTACTTTTTAAGGCATTCGATACTAAAGCTAGTCTGTTTAAAATCCCTGTAGTAGACATTTCGTTCTGTGAATAAAAATACAAAAAATTAAGAAAATAATCTTACATTTTTAATGGGTTCCTAACAATTTCTGTGCTTTCCAGTCATACATAGAATTTATATATAAAGCCCTATCTTAAAAACAAAGTGGCATTGTTCTTATTATTAATTATATTATTAATTATATTATGTTAAATTATATTATATTTTGTGTATGTGAAACTTGTGTAAGAGGCATGTGCACATACAGTATTTCCGTGCCCATTTTTAGCACTTAATTTACATGAATTCAGATGAGACCCATTTGTTGGTCTATACCATCTTTATGTGCAGGTTGGGGAGGGTTGGGTAGGTTCCTCCTAGTTCTTCTCAATCTGATCTCAAGCTGAGAATATAGAAGCAGCGGTAGATGATGTATAGATGATAGTTGACTCTGGATTTAAACTACAGACTCCAGTACAGACTTACTTATTTCTGCCCGTCTTTTTTTTCTTCGTCTTTTACCACTCCTCTCATGGCTCTCTCTGTTTTTTAAAATCATATTCATTATTCCATCTACTGTCACCATGTACAGTTGCCAAAGCAACGGTGGGATGCAGCTCCGCATCTTTCATGTGGTTGCCACGGAAACAAACCTCTTTCTCATACCTGCCTTCCACCAGATCTAACTGGTAATTATCGCAGTGACGTCTTTACGGCGCCGCTGGGCCGACTGTTGATCAGGAATTCTTATTATTGGTCATTTTCATTTTGTAGTTGCAAATCAGGAAATTCTTTGTTCGAGATAATTCCACAGAGGTTCTGAGTTATTGACACGGAACAGAGGAGCTGAACAGGAGGCACTTTTTCCTCATGTGCCTCTGTAATTAAATCAAAACTGTGATCCGTATTAATCATTGTAATTAGGTTGAAATATAAACAAGAGATTGTGATTAACTTTAACTTCTTTTTTTTATCTAATTTGTTCTCTCAGGGCTTTGGCACAGCTGATGATTTGCATCACTGTGGTAGGATACGGCCCTGGGGAACCATCTACTCTACAGAGGGGCCTGCAATGATGAACACACTGCAGACCAGTGGAGCCTGGCATCACACCCCTGACCTTTCTGTTAGAGGTTGACCCTCAGTTTCTTCAATCCCATGTCTGCTTCAGAAACCATTTTTGAACACATGGTAGGTTGAAAAAAAATTCTGAACGGTGGTTTTGGCTTGTGTCTCTCATCTCTGTTACCTTTATTCGCCGCATCATGTGACTCTGTCTCAGCTGTGAGAACGAAGTAGGACACTCTGACATCACCACTTTATGTCTGCGACGGTGGTGTAAGTAGAGAGGGTTTCAGGTCAGTGGACACAGACACACTAACACACACACTACGTGCAAAATAGTGCTCTTTCCGTTTGTGCTCTGGGTTTGGTAAGGAGCACAGGGAGATGCACGCTGTGGCTCTTTGGAGCCTGCTGCGTCCCTGGGGGGGGTGGTTGGTGTCACTATGTGTGTAAGAATCAGTGTCACACTGTGTCCGTCAGCCAACAGCTAGCGCAGGAAGTAACTGGTCTACTTTTACACTAAATCTGCCAGCAATTATGGTCATAAGGAGGTAGTTTTTGTTGGGTTTTTTTGTTTGTTTTTTAGGTCTTTGAGGCCAGAGTGGTAGAAAACACAAAATATTAAAAAATGAATGTTTATGTGTAAAAATGTAAAAAAAAAAAACCAAAGATGGGGATTGTTGCAAGCTGATTAAAAAGAGCTATCGGGCTACTGCTCATTTTAGAATAATGTTTGATGACAATTACAGTTATTACAAACACTGTGATTAGGTGAAAAATTAGGCGTGAACTCACCGTGTATTTTACATCTGCAGTTATTCCCTCAACCACAGAGTGGCGCTTGTGCATTTTTTTTATAACACTTCCATATTTATCTCTAAACATAAAATTTTTTTTTTTTTACATATTTATTCTTGACACTCTTTTTTTCCTACATTTAATTAGCAGTTTTAAGGTTGCTCCCACATAAATAAGCAAAGATACATCCGTGTAAAAACGTCTGTGAAAATATCAAATTGTACAAGGAGAACAGGCGCTTTGGCCCAGAGGCAATGTCGCTGTCATTGGTCTGGAACCCCAGGGTTCACCTCCTGGGCAAGATCAAATCCTGGTTAGGGCGGTTGGTACCTTCCAGTGGATTCACCACTTGCAGGAAGGTTTGGGGGGGTTAGTACGGTGCCGCGACCGGGTAACAGATAAGCGGATGAAAATGGATGGATGGACAAGGAGAACATTTACATGCAGTACCTTAATCACATTCATAACATAACAGACACTTCTTCTTTGGTCGGTGTGATCAGCAGGAGAGCTAAGTGACAAGGAAACGCTAAAATTAACTAAAGTGTAATGAACTTCTGTTTCACTTCCTGTCCTCTCGCCTGCGTCTTTCTCTACACTTTCTTCACACTGACGTTCTTGTAAGGTGAATCCTGCTTCTCCTCCTCTTCTTTCACACTGATGACCAGAAATGCCCTCTGTGCTTTTTTGGGCACGGCATAATCGTTCAACTGGGGATCGTAAGGGTACTCGTGGCCTGTTGGATCCCCAGCCGCCCCCATGGTTAACCAGGCATCTCTTCTCATCTCCTCGGGGTCATCATACACCGTGGCCGCAGTGAGGGAACTCTGCCCTTTGGGGGCAGCAGCGCAGCCCTCGGGCTCATCGTAGATGTGGTCCACTTTGTCGTACAGCGTTCCCGCACTTTCGTTTGCGCTTGGGAAGACGTTTCTGATCATCATCTCGTCAATGCTGTCGTAGAGTGGGTCTGCGCCAGACTCTGAGGTTACGATAGGACACTGATGGCCGCTGAGAACATCCGCCATGGCATTTTTATCGATGTTGTCAAAAGGGAGGGAATATTCTGATTCAGCCCCGTTGGAGGATGGAGGCCTGCTGCTTCCTTTTTCCCTTTTTTTCCTCTTGGCTCCCTTGCATTTGGTGGATGACTGTGAAATCTGGGAGTACAACATATCTGTGTTTGGATGGTGGTAGTTTTTTAAGGAGGTGGAGACAGGGCTGGTGTCACTGTGAGGTAGGGGACAGCTGGAGATCATCTTCACCTGATTCTTCTGGGGCACAGGCAGATCACGAGAGTCCAGATTCAAACTCTTGACTCCGGTTAGAACTTTGTCTACTGGCGGCTCAAGATAACACTGAAATAAAAAAAAAAAACCCAAATAGATTATAAGCTTCAGCTCCACATAGCAGACCACAAAACATTTTTTGGTTTTATTAAGAGCCACAGGACTGCACCGATTATCAACTGAAGACAGTATAGATGTGTTAATCCATGAAAAGTTACAGTCAGTTACAATGCAGCTTTGGACCACATGGTGGCGATCATTTCTTTAACAGTATACAGAGAAGATTGTCTTCTTTTTTTATGTGAGCTGTAGCAAAAAAAAAATATATATATATATAGATAAGTGTAGAAAATCACAGAAGAACAGAGCTATAACTCACTGGTCAACTTTGACCTTGACCTACATTTTAACC